AGAGAGAGAGAGAGAGAGAGAGAGAGAGAGAGAGAGAGAGAGAGAGAGAGAGAGATGAAGGTAACAACTTTCAATTGCAAGAAGACAAAAGAACTTTCGATGCTTTCCAATTTCCCATTTATGCAGAACAGCTCATAATGCAATGCAGGCAAGTGCAGGCCACAGGATACCAAAGCCAAAACACTGTTGGAATTTGAAGTTGATTACAACATAAATTTAAATCCCGCCTGGGCAGCAAATACATCTTCACAATCTATAAGAAAGACAATAAGTCCAAGAGCAAGCATTCCCCTCCTACAGGGTGCCTCCCTGCTGGGGACTTGGTGACACCGTTCAAAGGACACATGACAAGAATCCTTCCATGAAGCCGTCGACAGAGTCAGAAGATTGACTTGTCGTATCTTTACTATCTTCCCAAACAAGACTGCAGAAAACCTAAGAAAACAGCCAATACCCCGGTACAGAAAGGCCTTGGCATGTCCCGACAAAGCAATCCGTTTGACGTCAACATTTCCATGACAAAGAGACTTGATTCGCTGGCATTTCCACAAAGGTTTGTGTTTTGTGGTCTAATCCATGTCAGCAAAGAAGAATGCATCAGGGTCTATAGGTGGTTGCCTCACTGTTTTTTGCATGGACCCTTGTTCAGTGAAATAAATAAAGAGGCCCCGCAGTCGAGGAGTGATCATTCCCAGCAAAGGCCAAGGCCATAATCAAGAGCACAAAGAGGATAAGGGATGATATACAGCAAAGCACTTCAAGAGCCTGGTTGTTTCACTCACAGCATTTTCTTAAGCGCAAGCCGGATTCCGCGAGCACAGGCATCATCCTTCGGCAGGACGGATGTTTTCCTGGTGAGGACGCCGAGATGCAATGCTGCAATCAGCAGGCTCAGCAGCATAACAAGAGTTTGCCCCCCCATGAAGCTTCAAAAGCATCAGATGCTTGGCTCATACCGTTTCCACCTTACGCTTTGCAGCAGGTTTTGCTCGGCCTTTCTTCAACACACCGAGGATGAGAGAGCCAGCAACACACTTCACTTCGCACGCCACCCGTGCTCCTGCAGCAATCAACGATAAATGAGTGCCAAACTGTCAGTAATGGAACTCACATTAAAAAAAAAAAGAAAAAAAAAGAAAAAAAAAAACTAGCACGGTTATCTCCATTCCGGTCCATCCATCGACCTCCCTGCCCGACCTGCTGTGTCAGCAGGTACACCTACCGGTAGGCCTGCCTAGGATGGACAAGGGATGGACCGTGCACTACTGGACCAACAAAGGGTCCAGCTCTGTTCCGCACAAAATCTCCCATACCCTCAAACAGCCAAAATGTGTGTACCAAGTGTAGCAAGTGTACCACTGACCCAAACAGGCACTTGCGCGGCAGTGTGCGGCAATGCGTGTTTGTACATCAGAAGTTGGAAGTGAAACTATCCCAGAGCAGACAAAACGGGAAATCCTCAGGACCTGGACAAAACGCAGAATTATGAACAAATAAAAAGCAACAGAAAAGACAGAAAGACAAAAATAACTCATGCTGCCTGGGGTAGTGAACCAAGGACACCTCGGCCCGTATGGTCGCCCAGTCATGTGGCCATAGGTGGTGCCAATAATCACGTCCAGGCCCAGCCAGGGCCCATATGGGACACCCCTGCATGCCACGCACATGCCACGCACATCATGCGTTCGAAACCTGAGGGATGCAATACCCTTACCCCCTTTGAAGTAACAGAACGTAGGGAAACGAGGAAAGGAAGGAACCCAGTGCCGAGAGTGCCAACTGCCTAACCACCATCTGCATGACGTCCCGTGCGCTCATCACAGAGTGGAACACAGATCCATCCATCCATCGACAGAATGTACGGGAAGGAGAAAAGACAACGACATCGGTTAATCAACGACACAAGTGACAGAACATACCCAGTGCCGAGACACATGTGTCCGCTGGCTGACCGCCGTCTTCATTTCGTCCCAATGGTGTGAGCGCATCCCAGAACTGAAGATACATGCCCACCAGGCAACCGGTCATTCCATTCCTCCACGTATGAACCTTTCCGGACGCGGATATCCCGGCGCACACACCTACACCAATCGACACCTTGACCAAACGGTCCTCCGGTGACGTTCGCGGAAGGTAGTCAGAATGCGGTGGTCCAGGGATGGTGTTGACGCCCTGCCGTTGATCAGTGGCAGCATAACTCCACTGGTGCACTTGCCCATCAGCGGTCAGCGCCACAAAATCCTCTCCATAGCAACCGACATCTATCACCTGACAATAACCAGAGCAGAAAAGAAAAAGAACAAGGTCCAACCAAGATCAAATTAATAGTCAAGATGTCCTGGGGACCGGACAGCCAGAATATATGGTTCAATGCACCCGGCAATCATGACGTTGCTATGGCCTGACGGAAGAAGAGAGAAGTGGAGCACTTGGGTGGTGGAGGGCTGAGGTTGAGGGAGAAGACCTACATGACTATGGAGGCGTAGGAGATGGTAGAGGGCCGTCGCGACGGAGGTAGAGGGAGACGGACCTCAGGCCAGGCTATGGAGACAGAGCAGAGGTAGAGGAAGGCCACAGAGGTGGGAAATGACAAAGAGACTTACCTTTGGCTATGCTGGACCTTCGTCTTCATCTTCTTGATTGGAGAACTCCCCCTTTGGGCTACCGGCTGGACATGGACTTCATCCGGGGGGTGGGTATGGTGGAAGGAAAGGGGAGAAGCATGGTAATACTTGCATTGTCTGTTGATACCATGCCGTGTTAGGCATGGATGGATCGCCACAGCTAGTTTCCATACCAAGTGGGAGAGGAGGCTACAGGAGAGCTCTTTCTACAATGGCAGCAAGGGAGATCATTCAGACGTTGATTCTTATTTTCACACATTCATTCACTTATTATTGTATTGTATTTCATTGTTAATGAGAGAGGGAGGCAATTTCGCGAGGGAGATGATGATGGAGAATGGCGGAAGGAGGTCACATTCATTCAACCTTGTCTTCTTCTTCTTCTTCTTCTTCTTCGTTGTCGTCGCCATCTTTGTCGTCATCTTTGTCGTCACCATCTTTGTCTTCTTTCTTTCTTCTTCTCTCCTGGTCCCATTCCACTTTTTCTCCTTTTTTCTTCCCTCTTCTTTACTTATGTTTCTTTTTTCAAAAAGGTGACGGTGGCCTTGGGATATCATTGTGGTACTGACTGGCCCCAGGTAATTCAGAAATTCATTCAGCTAGTTCCGTTCCATCCGGGTTTGAACTTACCTCTATATTTCGACAGTTCGCGGGGGTACCAACTGAGCTAGGCCTGCTGGTCATTCCACCTCTTCCTGAGTTGCGGTGATGGTATTGTCTCAAAAATGACTCTTGCATTCATGAAATGGACAGCATGCAAGGATCATACCAGTTGTCACCATCATTTTCCCGTCATGACAGTGTGATTGGTGCCTTCATTCCAGGAAAGAGAGAGGGGGGGAGGGGATTGATGCTTATAGCCTTATGCACTATATTATCGCACAAAGAGGCTGCAATCAATCCTGGCCTTAAAGCCCTTTGCAGTAACCCTGTTCAACAGCAGACCGGGGCTCAGAACTTTGCCCCCGGTAAGACACAGACTCAGTTGTCTGTGCTGGGCTATGTGACCGAGACATGCCCAGCCTGAGTCTGTGGAGGAGGCTGTGTGACCAAACGCAGCACAAGGGAAATTCAACAGTCAAAGACAACTGTAGAGTCAAAGGTACCGTACCCAGGCCTATGGACGGATACATTCACTTGTTGTGTGCAGGTACCCAGACAGCATTCAGGGCGGGAGAAATACAGTTTCTGGCCGATCTGGGCCCTCATTCATATCGAGATCTGGACGGTGCAGGACCTCAGTACCCGGGGTCCAGACCCCGCATCCACGCTATTTAAAGAGTTGACTTCCTGGCTGGAGAACATTCAGTCTTGCGTGAATGCTGACTTCACGCGTGGACTTGACGCTGTTGCTATGCTGCGACATTGCGACATTGGCTTGACGCCGGCTATATGCTGGCAGAGGAGGACAGCAAGGCGCTGCTGGCTGGCAAGGTGCTGGCTGGCGATGGTCTTCTGGGAATGCTGACGTGGCAGCTGCCACGCGCCGTTGCTGACGTGGCCGCTGCCACCTGTATATGATTGATGA